CTCTATCACTTTTTCACCAATTCCCTCGAATGGTTCATATTCGTCAAAAATCGGCTGCGTCTCGATGCCCAGGCCAAAATAATAGCTGAAGAGGTGGTGACCTCTTCTCCAAAGGCTTGCCATGAAGTCATTGAACTCTAAAACGTCATAAAAATGTGCTGAAATACTCTCTAGTTTTTTCAAATATAGTAGATCTTGGGCTTTGACATCCATTAATCCAGGTGTGCAGTTAAGATGGAAGGATTGAAGCTTGGTCAATTTGGCAAAATCAAAACTCACTTGTGTCCCTTGCGGATTGAGTCTTGTAGTTCTTCGTACATCGAACCATATAAGATTTAGCAGCATTTCTAAACCTTGAGGAACTCCAATAATTCCTGTGCGGAAAAGGCTCAATCACATCAGCTTTTGCAGCTTTGATAATGAAGGTAAATATTTCAGTGATTCACATCTATGAAGCCATAAAGCAACAAGACACTCCAGCTCCGAAACAGATTTTGGCAAACATTCAATAGCAGTATCAGATAAATTAAGCACTTTAAGAGCTTTCATGCTCAAGAAAAAATCATCTGGGATCCATCTGAGGTGGTAATTCTGATGCAACAGAAAGATTGAAAGATTAGGACACAGGAGAAATGCCTTCTGGAATGATTACTATATCCTGGTTCATCAAATAGACCTTTTGTAGATCTTCTTCCCATTGATCCTTGTTTGGTATTTCCATCAACCGTTCATCAATATTCACCATCACTATGTAAGTCCTTTTTAGAATACCAACTGCCATATCCCAAATTATCTCATGTAATCTAACATCATTCCCTTTTTACCCATGAGTATGAGACTGATGTTTTTTAACTTGTTTAGGATGCTGAGAAATTCATAATGATTTGCCTCCAACCTCTGTGTTCCATCTATCAATCCCTCAAAGGCAAGATTCGTGAACTCATATTGTAAACTCAAAGCACAATGCAAGAAACATTCTTGCAACTTTCTACTATCCAGTTATCATAGCTTGATCTTAGAATGGGAACCACCCATTTGCTCATATCATATTGTCCGGTCAGAGAACTTCTTAAGCTTTCTAGCAAATGATTCCATTCCACAATGTCTTCTTTTCCTTCCATTCTTCTTGCCATTGTAACAGCCGCAAGAGGCAAACCAAAACATTCTTTCACTACAAGCCTAGCTGTTTACTTCATCTCATCAGACAACCTTCCGTTTTCTTTGATAGTCTTTTCAAACGAATCCCAAGCTCCTTCTGCATCTAAAGTCTCCATCCGTAAGATATTCTCTCGGCAATTCATACTGTAGCACATATCCAATGAACGAGTTGTCAAAATCAATTTGTTTCCATTTCTCCCTACGGTGAACCCCGCCTTATCCAAACAAATATACTCCCAGACATCATCTAAAATAAGCAAACATTTGTTTATGTGTTGAAATGCATGTAACAATCTTCCTGCTATTTTATTTCCCTCGCACTCATATGATATACCTAAATTGATTGATTTAGCAATGGTCTTCTGTAGTTGGTTCACACTATAATGTCGAGACACAGTGAACCAAATAATATAATCAAAACCAATATCATCTCTTTCAAGAAGTTGATTATGTATGTGATTGAGCAGAGCTGTTTTCCCCACTCCAATTCCCCATACTCTAATTGCAGACACCACATTTTTCGTCAGCCACTCCCATATCTTTTTAGCATAATTCTGGAATTGCTTGCCGATTAAATCTTTCGTTGCCCATGGATATCCTTTAATATCTCCTGGAACCAAAAAAGGGGACGGCTAGGAATTAATATTGGAGCAAGGAAAGATATGTCTCACATATGTGATAAAAATTAGGGTTAAATATTGTTCCCCCCTCAAAGTTCTTTTCTTTTTAAAAACGTTGGATACCCTATATTAAATGATAGAATAATATTTCATTTAAACAACTTTTTCAAGAGCAAAATTACCTTTTCACCAAAGACATGTCATATTCTCCATCGTCATGGAAACAGTAAGGCATTTAGACTTATTTTACCATTGTTTCATATATTAGATGAGGTTTAGTTTCTGTCACTACTATTGTACTTTCAATCTTAGTTTCTGCCACTTCTATTGCACTTTCAGTCCCTTTAGCCCACATCAAATGGTTGAAATGGGTCATAATGCCTTTCTATCTACCATCATTTTACATATTAGATTAGGTTTAGTTTTTGCATTACTATTGCACTTCCAGCCTACATCAAATAATCAAAATGAGTCACAATGCCTTACTATCATGGTTGTGGGCCCCACAACTATTCTATATCAACAAGTAATGAAGAATTTTTATGGTAGGGTGATTTTGCTTTTTAAAAAATTGTTTAGTGGGGTATTGTCCCTATTTTTTAGTATCGGGTGTCTAGTGCTCTTCAGAAGAAGTTTAGAGAAAAAATGGCTCTAAAAATTATAATCATAAATGAATAAACTTTTTTGTACTATCTAATTTTTGTAAGAAATCGTTGTTTTATTCAAGTTTATTATACATATGAAGAAAATTAGATAGGAAGGGAGAGTTTTAGTTTGGGGCTATTTATACCTTTTTCCAAACCACATGGAGAGTTACTGGAGCCGCCAAACTTTTGTTTAACATCTTCAGTCTGTTTTATCCTAAATTTAGAAAAATGGCCATAGTCTTCTTGTGCATGGTTTTGCTGAGCAGCTCTTTTGCCTAACTCCATTCTTTGGTAATTTAAGTCATTCTTGAACAATGCCGGAGCCAAACTCAACCTTTTTTCATCGCTATCAAGCTGCATTGTTATATATCTATCTATATTAATTTATTTAATGAATATAAAAAATAGATATATATAGTTGAATAATAAGTGAGCATACCTTTGAAGAAGAAGAATTTACGCTTGCATTTTTGGCTGATTGTTGCATAAAGTTGATAACAAATATACCACAATCAGACCTGCCATCAAAAGAATCATTATAATGAAGGCCAAGATTATATTGCTAACTCGTATATTACACCTGAAGACCGAAGAGTTTGAGATAGTAAAACAAACTCATTGAGATGCTTTGGAGTTTTCTTTGCCATTGCCACATGAAACTCCTCAAATGGGAGAGTACCTATTTGGAGTTCATCTGAGAATAAAAAATCGAACACAGACAGCTGCCGATGCAGGATTTGCCAAAAACAAAAAACAAATATATATGTTTTAACAATTAGTCCGTTTTTCTTTTAAAGAGATATATATATATATATATATATATGTTTTAACAATTATCGTCTAACTCTCACCAGCCGATATGTTGTGTCTTTACGTTCTTCTATGGAAAACGGAGGTAAGGAATCCCAAATTTCAACCCTTTGACTCTTCAAATGCATCACGTATATCTAGAAATGTCCTGTGGAGTTTTTGTTGATATGGACAGGAATAAACATCTGTGACAATGATAGCAACACAAGTTAAATGAAAAACAATTATATATATGTTAACAGTAGAAGTTGAAAAGTGTCCAAGCATAATGAACAAATGCTTACCTTCTCACAATTCACCAATTTGGACATATAATTTTCTTTTATTTCTTTCCCTTTAACAAAATTCAGGAAGGATTGTGTATCTCCAAATGCTGCAGAAGACTAAGTTTTTTTTTTTTTTTTGGAAACACCAATAAGTAAAACTTATATTTATATGTAGAAAACAAAACAGTTTAAAATGATAAAAGAATGATTTAAAAGTTATCGAGAACATTAGTGGCAAATACCAATTTAACCGCGTACTTTTTTCCTTGCGCTCATTCTCAGTAAGGTACTCACAGAAAATATTTATCACCTAACATAATAAAATTTAGTAATAACACAGTGAAGAATTTTTACGTGTTAACACAACAAAACTATAAAGAAATACAAATTCATATTGATAAGCGTCACAAGAGTTTGGGAGAATGAAGAAGGTTTGGGGAAGAGATATATACATATAACTGAATCAGGAAGGCAATACAGCTTCTGGTTTGAAAGATGGTCCACCATAAATGGATCACTACCAATAAATTTGTACGAAACTATGCACTGATAGTAATTTCTCCATGAAAAAATTAGTTGTGAACTTTGGGTCTTTGACATGATATGAGAGATTGATTTTTCTTTAGTTGAAAAATTGGTTTAAAACTTTAAGTATTCTGTCTTTTCTTGAATGGAAGTGTCATAGTTTTATTAAAAAAAAGAGAGATATTATTTATAAAAAATGTGTCATAAGATTGGTGTATTTATAAAAAAAAATTAGAAGCAATTCGTATTCCCCACCTTTAAGCAAATTCTCTTCTTTTCTCTTTGGCCTCTCCGCTTTTCCTCCTCTCTTTTTCTCTATCCACAGTCCACCACCTTTCCCTTCCTTTTTTTTTTTTCCAATAAAATTAAAGTTGATAATTAAATCCCATTAAATTAAAATTAAATTTTGTTTAACTTTTACCATGTAAGACTCGAAAATAACAATTGTGGGGATTTGAAAATCATAAAAAAGGAAAGAACTTTTTTTTTTCAATGCATGAAGATATTATTTTGTTTTTTCTTATATTTTATTATAAAAGGAGAAAATTGGTCCACCAGTGTCCAAAAAAATATGAACCAAATTTTGAAAAATTTAAAAATTTGATTGATTTATATGCTTCCATATATATAATTGATATACATCCGTATATAATTGATAAATTTTAGCAAAATTTGTAAAAATATTTATATAATTATATATCAATAATAAATATTAAACCAGTCACTTTTTTTAAAAAAATATAAAAAATATTGGATTATTATTTTAATTTGGCGACTATATATGTAAAAGTCTATTATAAAAACCAATTTTTTCTTTTTTTAGTTCCTTAAATTTAATATGTTTTTTATTTATTTTTCAATTTAACGGGGGCGTTCACACTTCCCTTCCTTCTAGTCCGTGGGTCGGTCATCCTCTTCCATCGTGCCGTTCGCCTGTTCCCTCGTCCGTGGTCTCACTTCAGTATCTGGTTTGCTCCCTCTCTCCCACACACTCTCTTCGTCTTCCCTCTCCATTACACTTTGATCCTGTTGTATGGTTGAATTAATTTTTTTATGGCTTATACTTATTTGTGCTGAATTATTTATGTATTTATTGGGATTGTGCCGAGTTTGCTTTGGAGGCTTCCCGAAGTAATGGTTATTCTGATCTGGGAAGAATGCTCCGAAAGCTGCAAAATGTAAATATTCAATTTCTGATGTAATGCTTTTCTTGAATATAAGATGATTCGTGAACGACACAGCGTAATTAGTGATATAGTTATTCTTGAATATTGTTTATTTGGATCTTGCTTAATGAATTACAATATTGAATTTTGAAGATTGGTCAGCAATTTGTCCTTTCATAATGCACTTGGCACTTCCATGACAAATTGTTGGAACTTGTGGTGGGTCATCGTTACGCTTTGCTTAAGTTTTTTTTTTTTTTTGGTAAAGACAATGAAATGATATTTTAATTATGAACAATTGGCCTTCCTAAGTAAGAAGCTTCTTTTCAAAGGTTTCAATATATTTTGTAAAATCAAAATTAATCTTCTTTTGCTCCACCCTGTTCAGTTGTATTATTTGTGCTGTATTGTGCCGAACTACTCTCGGGAGTTTGCTGAATTTTTGTTGAAATGCTGCTAAGCTATTCGTTTTGGATTGTTTGTTTATTTGTGTTGGAAAGTTTGATGATTGAAGGATTGTAGGGATGAATATTTTGAATTTTGTTATCTTTTATTATTGTTACAATTATTTGTATGATGTATGAGATATTAAGTCTTGGATGTGGATGAATGTTTTGAGGATTAATGTCTTTCTAATTAAATTATATTATTTTTAATTATGATTGGTTTGACTCCAGTGAGATCAATAATCTTTGAACTAGTATCTCGATTCAATGATTGATCCAGTTTTTAGTAACTTGATTTGTTTTATTTCCAACAATTTCCTTCACCTTCTCTGGATAAACTAGCGGTGGAGCTCCTCTCACCATCTGAAAAAATCAATTCACCTCACTGTTTTCATTTTCACTCCTGCTCATACCTGTCTTTCATTTTTGTGCAGATCAATCCCACTCTCTCACTCTCTACCTTTTCACTTGCTTGATGGTTGCTCTTGCTCCCCACTTTTGTTCAATCACATAGAGGTTTCAGGTTTGGCTCTCTCGGCTCCCCTCTTGCACTTTTTATTATGTTAAGAGCTCATTTATGCTCTTCTTGTGCATACGTTTGCATAAGGCATAAGATTTCCTATGGCTACATGGAAGCCTAGAAGGGACCTCAATGAGGTAGTTATCTTGTCTGGAAAGGAAATTGAACTAGGGCACAAGATTTTTAAGTAAAATTATTTAATTTAAGAGACCAATTTTCTGTCCATTGAATTTGTGGCAATTCAAATCTATGTGTTCTCAAACACTCAATCAACAAGGAAATGTCAACAAGGAGGTTCATTTAGTCTATATGTCTATCATTTGCTCAGAAGTTTTGTGAGCAGAGGGAACCTAATTGAAATCTTATCTTGTTTACTTTTTTTTAACCAAACTAGATCTTGAAATTTTTCACAAGCATGAGTACTTACTATAATTTGAACTAACAGATCCCAAGTCAGATTATAGTTGTTAGTTATCTTTCAATCACTATTTGATTTTCCTAAATTTCTTCCTTACAAGAATATTAATGTATGCCAAGCCTTTTTTGTTTTTTTTGTTTTTTGGGTGCAAATTACCATAGCTCCTATCTTCATCAAAAGGTCTTCCAAAAAGGAGTTAGTGCATATTAAAAATTCAATTTCGTTATATTCAGGTTGCAGGAGCTGCTTTCATCTTTGAGGTGCAAAGTAGTTCTAGATCAGAAGCAAGGAAGGAAGAAATACGTAGACTGGAAATACAAGTTGTCTTTGAGGCTTCCTCCTTGTTTTGTATGTTATCTGATATGACTATAGCTTATAGAGGGATTTTCCTGGTGCACATTTGTCTTCTTGTAGTCCTTAGACATGGTATCGTTTGCATCTATTTTTACCTATTGTCAAAATTTATGGAGGTTTTAAATTGAAAATGGGATGTGTTATTGATCTCTTGGTTATCTTCCATAGGAAGAGTTTGTAAGCTGTTGTTGAGGACCACACTATTTTAATCTATGGAAAATGTGGCCAATGTATTTTACTGATCTACCAACTTTCTTATATATAGAGAATATACAAGACAAAGCAATAAATACTTACACCTAACAACTACTCTAGTTAACCCTAATATACAATAAATACAAAGAATAGAACAAAGAATAAATTCTAATTCTCAACACTCCCCCTCAAGCTAGTGTGTACAGATCATATGCACCAAGCTTGTTACAAATGTACTTTATTTGAGGTCCCTGAAGAACTTTGGTTAATATGTTTGCTAGTTGATCATTGGAGCTGACATACTTCGTAGCAAGACATCCTAATTGAATCTTTTTGTTCACAAAATGACAATCTATCTTAATGTGTTTAGTCCTCTCATAAAACATTAGATTTGAGGCTATATTCATTGAAGCCTGATTGTCACAAATCAAGTCCATTCTTGTAATATTCCCAGATTTTAATTCCTGAAGAGGTTGTTTTAACTAGATAAGTTCACATGGAGCTATGGCCATGGCACAATATTCAGCTTCAGCACTAGACCTAATGAAAACATCTTGTTTTTTACTCTTCCAGGAAATTAGATTTCCACCAATAAACACACAATACCTTGAAGTAGAGTGTCGATCAATCGGGTATTCAGCCTAGTCCGTATCACTATACCCAATAATCTAAGTATCATCTTGGGAATCGTCCTGATCACTAACCATAGCCAATTATTTGAGAATTCCCCTTGTCTTCATATAAGGGTCCTTGACTTGGGGTTCCCTTGATGTATCTAAGAATTTGAATTGCAACTTCCTAGTGGCTATCTGATGGAGACTTGGTAGTATGAGATACTAAGTCCCACATTAAGTAGTATGGAATATTCAATGGGATATATAAGTAGGTTGGTTCTCCCACATCAATAGCTAGCTTTTGAGATAGGGTTCCTATCCTACTTGGGTATCTATCAATTGGTATCTGATAAGATTGCTTTTGCTACCCAAACCTATAAAAGGAAAATTAAGAAGCATGAAAATGGAAAGATGCTTTTAGGCCCAATTATTAAGGAGCAAGAAAGTAAAAATTAAGGCTACTTTAGAGTTGCTGTTGACCTGGGTTAGGAGAGGGCATTTTTGGAGTCCGTAAGGGCTGTCTTTTGGGTTTGTAGTGGTGCTCTAGGCCCGCAAGCAGATTCTGTCATTTGTCTTTTTAGTGTTGTGAAGAGGGGACTGGCCTCTCAAAAGCCAGTGAGTGTTCTGTACTGAGAGTGATTATGTTTGTCTTAGTTGCTGTGATTTTTCCGTTGTAACAAGGAGTCCTTCTTGTAACTCTGATTCAGTAACTTATCTGATTAATCTTAAAACCTCAGGATTTCCCTTATATTGTGTTCTGCTGTTGCATATTTGCTTTTTTTTGGCTCACTTAATCCACAGGGTCTCATCATTTGGTATTAGAGCTGTGAGATCTTAAGGGTTACATAGTCAGCATTCTGACCACCTAAAAGCATCTTTCCTTTTTCATGCTTCTTAGTTTTCCTTTTGTAGATTTAGGCAGCAAAAGCAACCTTATTAGTATCAGAGCCTTGTTGTCGGAAGTTTCGGAGAGAGCTGCCTATGGAGGGTTTTGACTAGAGACTTGGTAGTATGGGATACCAAGTCCTCTATTGAGTAGTATGAAATGCTCAATGGGATATATAAGTGGGTTGATTCAATGATTTTCTTACTGCACAGTTGAAAATGTCTGTGAGGCTTATGATCTCATCATTAGTACAATACCATGTTCTATCTGACTTCAAATTTTATGGAGCTCAGATGTTTGTATATGGCTTCAAGGAGCTTGATTAACTAACTTATCTTGTATATCATTTCAGGTGAAACTCTATTAGTGAATTTGTAGACAGCAAGAGGGTGGATCAAGAGTTGCAACAGTTGAGATACTCAACCACATTCAGGTTGGCTTGACTGTTCTCTCTTTTGCTTATGATACATCACCTTGCATTCTCAAAATTAAGTGGATTTCTTTTGCCTATTCATTGCATAACAATGTTGATATTGGCTAATATATCTATAAATCAGCAGCATGTGATATTTAGTAACCTTACTAAGTTATCGAGAAAATAACTGAGAATTAATTATGATAGCTGAATAATGTATATTAAATATTTATACACATCCTTCTACTAATTGGGTATGGGTGGCTCCAAAGAACAACAGATTCTGGCTCCAAAGAATGTCATTATGGCTGTGCTATAGTACTGGCAATGGTACCTTTTGCCTACATTTGATTGCATAGGAAACCATGAAGTCCATAACAGTGTTCCTAAAATCAAAGCTATTTACCCTAGTCCATCTCCCAGTATTGAATTAGATTAAATTGTTTCTTGGCCAGTTTGACATTAATGATGATTCTGTGGCGTTAAAGCATTTCTTTTATGAATTTGATTTAATTTGTTTATAGGTTATGGCTTGTATTGTTAGCTTAGTTGCCTTGCTCAATTCTGTAACATTGTGTTCTAACTTTTAATTAAGTTTTTACCTTTAGGGAGTCAAACTTTCGCATAACCTGGAGTATGAACCTCATCTTCAATCTCGACTAAAAAATCAGTGATAATTTATTCAGTATGGTCCGCTCGAAGTGTCATGACCAAAGAGATGTTCACTTCTTTTATATCAAAATCATGAAGCTGCATTAGATGGAATTAATGATTTTTTTTCCTAGTCATATACGTAGCTTGCTTTGCGCTAAAAACTGAGAGATATATAATTTTTATTATGCTTGTTCTTGCTTAATAGTATATCTGTCACTTTTTCTTTCTTTCTTTCTTTCTTTCTTTCTTTTTTTTTTATATACTGGAGGTACATGTGTTACTTTTCTTACATTTTTTTTCTTCCTTTTCTCTCTTCATATCTGATATCTTAAATACCAAACAACCTGTTAGCTATTTTGTTTTTAGGTTACAACCACTTTTTGTACTTAAATAGATTCTATCATTTGTTGTCTATAAAACTAGCTAATAGATGATTTCTTTTGTGTCAGCTTTTCTCGAAATATGGATGGACAGAAGAGTAGTGATCGTGGCCAGAAATGCACATCAAGGCTTTGAAAGTTTTATATATATATATATATATTGATGTCACTAGTTATAATGTATTTTAAGAGTCTAATCTTTTACTGGTACTTAAACATTGTGTTTTAGGCCGATATAAGGACATGATCTTATTGTATGTTGATATTGTCAACATTAATATTATTGAAACTTTGGGGATCAAATTTTTGTTTGTGCAATATATATATAAAACTTTCCATATAGGCAATCACTTTAAATACTGTAAAACACCATTTCCCCATAGGCAACGCTTTTTACCCTTACTAACACCTTCAGATGCTTGCGAGATGAAGCAGGCCTGCTACCTCAAACAACACACACACATATTGACTTCACATTTGACAAAAAACTAGTGACTGGGAATGAAAATCATGTTTGCCAAGTTCATGGTACAAGAGCCGTGATTAGGGTCGACAATCTTCAAGCCAAGAAAGCCAAATTTCATGGTATCACAGCCGAGCCACAAAGCTCAGTTGGCAATGTGTCTTTATCGGGGACCAACGAGCTGTCATTATAGATAATCAAAGGACACAAGCTTGATCCTGACAATTATCTCCAGTAGTCACTTAGCTAATTTATTGTTACATCAGCTATATATGGCCACTGATGTCATTGACTCAAAGTTTGCAATAAAAAACAATCATGTCATGTCATGGTCTGTGAGTTCCATAACCCTAAAAAGAAATGGTAGAAAACAAAGAAGAAATGCACCCAATACTCTGAATCTTGATGTTGAATCCATGACCTTACTAACACTAGGCATTTTTCATATCTATTGTAGGCCACAGTCATTTTTGCTATATTTCGCCTTCATTCATTGTGACTTATCACAGTATTAACTAGTGTAATGTAATTTAATTTTTCAAGCTTGACATGGAGGAATTCATTCACTTAAGGTGGTGTTAGAAGTGTAAATAATTCTTGTGTTGCCGTTTGTCTTTTAGGTCCTTCTTTGTCATTTTGTTTCCTAGCTTAGCTTTCTCATCTATAAACATCCATGTATACTGTATCCTCATATATATATATATATATATATCTACTATCTAATTCTTGCAGGAAGCCTACAATGTTCGTTATGAATTGGTGCTGGAGCTACAGAATATTAAAATTGCTAAAAGCATGCTTAGCCATATTTTAGGCTGGAATATGAATTACAGCAAGGAAAATGAATTCATAGACAGTTTTGTGCTTGAGCTCACCAGTTTCTTAGTAATTTTCTCTCGTTCTGCCTCCGCAAATTCAACAGAAGAATCCCAGTTTATAACTTGTCCCTTTTTTGAAGTCGATCACGCATAAATAGTAATGTCCAATACCCTTTTTTACATGTATCGGAATAAACATATGTTCCAACCATGAAAACACAAGTCAAATAAACAAAATTATATATGCAAATAGAAAATTTTGAAAATGCATTGCTACTTAAAATAAGTGTATATACCTTTTCATAACGTCCCAAGTCGGGCATGTAGTTTTCTTTTATATGGTTGCTATCAACAAAATTTATGGTTATCTACTGTACCTCCAAGTGCGAATTCCTAATATTGAAAAGGAATTATGGTAGATAAAAGCGATGTTGATATTTTAAAAAATAAAGCAAGTAAAAATAATTAAAAGTAATTTAATAATTACCTAGATTAAGAGGGGCAAATAACAGTTTAACTGTGCACTTCTCTCCTTACGCTGTTTCCAGTTAAGGTAATCAGCAAACATGTCTATCGCCTGACGTGGAGGATTTAATGAAATTACAAATAAGATTGTTTACATGTTAGCATGAAATGAATCATAGGTACAATGAGAACTTACTTCTGAATTTAGACATTCTTTGGGTCGCAGTGAAATAAAATTGTTTGTATATACTAGCAGATGTGCAGATGTAACAATCATCTCATCACCACTAGTAAAGATATGTATATATATTATGTTAGTAAAATAATAGATAGCTACTTCGCTAAAAAATTGAGTAACTTTTAAGGATCAAAAGTAGCATCAATTTTATTCTTACCTTCTATTCCTTGACTCATCAAACACATTCAATTAATTGGACGTCTGTGTCCTCAATATTCTCTATATTCGAGATAGAGAAAGGACCAATTTGTCTCCTTCCCTTCACTTCTGGGGTTGCCTGATCCAATTGTGCTTCTTTAAACTCATGGGTGTCTGAAATATATGAAATATTTGTGTTGGTTATAACAAAAGTACTAAAAAAAAAAAATTAGCTGGTCAGACCAAAAATCCTAAAACAAAGGGAATAATTCCCCAAGAAAAAATTGGACAAGAGATAAGTTCATAAATTATTATTTTTTAGTTTCAATCACAAAATTCATTAAAAGACTCCGAATCAGTAAAATAAATAGTTCAACCGTCAAAACATTATTTTTTTCTAAAAAACCTAACCATATTTCTAAAGAATGATTAATTCTCTCTAAGGGAATGGAAGACTACTGAACAAATGGGATACAAATATGGATATAAATTACAATTCCGAATATATTTATAATAAAAATGTTACAATTAAAGTTAAGCCGGGAGGTAGTATAAATTAAAGCAAGTCATATATCATAGATATCTTAACTTTGATGATAACTAGTATGTGGTCCGTGGTTTAAAATGATAAGTAATTATTTAAATAAATAATAAAATATAAGTTAAATTATAAACTTACATTATTATTAAATAAAAAACTTTTAAATTAAAGTAATTGATGTTTTCAATAGTAATAATGCGTTAAATATAACAATGATTTAAAAATTCCCTTATAACTTCCCCACATAATGAATTCAAAAGCAAAATCAATTTTATAAAATATATTTAAATTAAAATTTTATTATTAAATTTAAAATTGTAAATAAGAAGTTGAAAAATTATGATAACGTATAGGATTGTGATAGAGAAGATTTAAGAAGAAAAGTAGCTACAAATAGTTTAGAGATAATTTTGTTATTATTTTTAGGGATAAGAAGAATGTGGTGATGATATAGAGAAGATTGTTGAATTATAATTTTTTTATAATTGTTGAATTATGAAATTTGGAGAGAATATTATTTATCATGATTTTCTGTTTTGTATATTGCTGGTTAAATTAACATTTAAGAAAAGGCTATATGATTAAATATAGATATAAAATTATGTTTAGTGAAAATGGTATCACACAAAAATAATTATATTGAAAACAAAATAATTACTATTACTAATAAATGTAAAAAAAATGCATACTTAGGTAGAAAAATTATAAGTTTATAACACTTTCATGTTACATCACGTTCATAAATTAAACTACATATACTTGAAAAATTCTAAAAAAGTTTTAAATTTATGTCAAAATCCACAAGGTTAAGGCAATTATTCAAGTGGGGTTACCAAAACATGGGCATATTAATTCATCACTTAGTATCCTTCCTAAAATTTTTAGAATTAATTTTGAAAAATAGATTTCCACCTTTCTGTTGTGATTTGTGAAACAAAGCATTAGCTATGCTTGCTGCATCATTATTAATACTTTTGAACATTTAAAAGAGAGTATCAAAAATCACTTTATCACATGCACACGCGTACATATTATAGAATAAATATGAGATTTTCTTCTTTATATACAGGCTACTTAATAATCAAACATAAGATAATCTCATAGTCAATAATACGTTATAATGCATATATGAGTTTCCAAAGTTTGATATCTATACAAATAGATATCAACATTGTTCTAGGTTGAAACCAATCTCCCCCCCCCCTTTTTTTACCTTTATTCATATCTCCTTGGGCTATTGTTGGCAAACACATGGGGAGATAATACCTAGCAATCCAAAAGTAACTCTAAAACCTTCTCAGCATGCATATTCAACATCAACAAATCTAGTACAATTATTTTATACATTAAGGATTCGCAACAAAAAATAGTGGCTTTTAAGATAATTAAGATAACTAATAACAACATGCTTTTAAGATAGATTTTGAGTAAAAGACAAAGAAGCATGAGATAATTAAGAAATTATAAATTTATTAAAATGTATATATAGAAATCCAAATATGGAGGGAGAAAACCACAAGCACGTTTGATTCATTGTAATTTATAATGAGACAAGGTGATAAAAAATTAGGATAACAAAGATCATGAGAGAGGAAGTTAAGACCATGGAAGTTCAATTATGGGAATATAGACAAATAAGGAAGATAATGAGAGTAATTTGGATAGTTTTTGTTTTAAAAGAAAATAATGGGAGGTGATTTTTAACAGTTCCAAAAATAAGGGATTAGTCTTTTTTTTTAACTCAATATCAATTTTTGAAATTAACAATAGCATGGATAGCTTAGAATTGCATAATTTCAAAATTTGCAAATCCACTGGTAGAAATGCTGCATGCAATTATATATATATATATATATATATATCATGGAAGAAGAAGTTAAGATCATGGAAGTTACAATAATGAGAATATAGATAAATAAGGAAGATAATGGAAGTGACTTGGGTAGTTCTTTTTTAAAGCAAATAATGGGAGGTGGCTTTTGATTTAAGAAGAGACCAAGTGGTAGTCAAACACTTACTGGGGAATCAAATGATTTAATTTTAAAAATGTTTTGGCTCTATGCTTCTAAAATCCCACCTTGACAATATTGCCAAGAACAAAGAGAAGATAAGCAACTTTCCCCTTGCAATGACTTGTGATTTCTATAGTTGCTTTATCTCTTTGAACTTCACAAAGTGGTTGATATTTTTTAACTTGATCCCCTTGCCAAAATGACATGATCAATTATTGAGATGAATTGCTTAAAAAAGTGGTAACCTCGAATGAAACATGGAGCCAAACTTTTTTGTTGACAAATATTTTAACTTATTGAAATACTTATTAAAAGTTACATTCCACCTCCAAACATATGTTGTAAGCATTAAAAAATGGAAAGAAGTTAATTGTTGAAAAAGCATAGAACCAAGGATAGAAGTTAGGATAGAATATTGCATATTTGTAAAAAAAAAAAAAGAAAGAAAGAAAGAAAGAAAGAAAGAAAAAAAGCAAGGAAATAAGGAACCAACCAATCACTCACCTCTTGCACAAACCATTTGAGAAGTTCACATTCTGCAATACCTTTATCGATTTGTGCCAACAGCACGTCAACTATCTCACTCGCAGGAAGGTCTGCCATGGCTTCAGTGGAA